TTATTTTGCATCTACGAGTGTTCCATTTTTTTAGAACTTATTTGTTAGTGGATCCTGGTACTGGTTCACTCTTATCTAGGCTTCCTGATGGAAACGCCGGACTCCTTCTCAGTTTGGCAGACCTTGCCGGGAGACGAATCCCCCCGTTGTACATCGCAGTCCAACACCCAGGAACACCTCCCAGCCACGATGAGGCGGTAAACCGTTGGGAGGCCATAACCAATACCAGGATCCACCACCGTCTTGGTATCAAAGTCGCATGGTGGTAAATCTCGCTCTGATCCACAAAGGCTGCGACTGCCTGTCGTGGTGACGACCTGGGGCACCAGGTTGTCCTCGGGATTCCAGAGAACCACAATGGCTTAACCAGCAAATCTCCGAAAAATGGTGACTATGCTGGGGTCGGCACAACTAGTGATGACGGGCTGTTCAAGTATCAAGTATCAAGTAAGATTTGTTAGTACAAAATAACCGGTTCCAAACTGAACTGCTTCACTACGAGGCAATAAAGGATTATGACAGAGAACTGGTCTTAGATCTTTACAGATTGCTATTCATTTCGTGACATTGGAGCAAACATTTTGGTAAAATGGCTAGACGATAAGAACTTTTGGATATTCTATGAATATAGTAAATATTTCCTCGTAACGAGAGGGAATTACTACCACTTAAGAAAACCTAGCTCAAAAAACTCTTCATTTTCATATGAAGCAGAGAGTTTCATAGCATAAAGAACTCATCTCATCGATCTCGTACCTATAATATCAATTACGAAACTTTAACCCTAATTGTTTAGCTTTTTATTTACTCCCTACTAATTTTTCCACGGCAGGGTATTACATGAAATAGAATCACAATGACGCTAATATAATGGCAAAACGTGGACCCCAGGCCAGATTCCAGGCCTCCTGGTTGAGAGAGAGGGAAAGCAAAGGCCTGAGTGATGCAGTGGGCAACATGTGAGCCGCGGAAAGTGTAGTCGCAGGTTCGAATCTGAGCTGGGGTCCAAGCTTTGCAAATATTTCAGCAAGAATTGTGGTTTTAATCCTAAAGTTTCTGGGTTTTTATTAACGCGCCCTTTAAAGGACTAAAGGATATAGAGTACAGGGCGTAGGCGGTGAAAACTGCCAAAGCCGGTATTGATCCATGTCTCTTCAACCGAAAACGTCCGATTCGAGTTTTTAGTTCCTCCAACAATATGAAGATAAAGTCGACTAATTATGTACGGACTTCGAAAAGTTCTGCAGAAAGGAAATACATTCTTTAACGACATCGCTACAGATTTTAACGCTAAGTTTCAAAGCATAAGAACGTCTGAGGTACGTCACACTGGGACTCACACATTAGAATGGAACGAGCTGAGTGAGTGGCTGTCAGAGTTTATTACTACGACCAACACCATGGTAACTCCCAGCTCCAGGAGCGCCAGTCTCAGTGTGGACGTGGAAGTCTCCCAATGGAGAGTACCACAACGAAATTGACCATGTCATAGTAAATCGAAAGTATAGCTTAACCGATGCCATTGTTGTGCCAAAATTCTACAAGGCATCACACCATCGCTGCATGATTTCATTTCTAGCGGAAAGGTGAAGAACGCTCTGAATTCAAAAAAAAAGAACAAAGCCCCAAAACTAACATTAACTTGGATTCATTTTGTTCGTTAGATAGCTACTTGGAAGGTTTTGATAACATCGACGAGGAATACTATGGGTTCATCCAACATCTTCACGTTAACACTGCAGAAGCTGAAAGTTCGAAAGACATTAATACGCCAATATGCACGACGCCCAGGTGGAACAGATACAGCTTCTAGAAAGACTGAAGTACATCAACCACGATTGGATCTCTTCAATAGCCACATCCTCCTTTCCTCATACCAAATAAAGGAGGACAGATATTTCTTACCATAGGTTCTCCCTTCCAGAATCCGACATCCTACTTCGCCCGTGAAGGGTCGAACCACACAGGGTCCTGACAGGATAAGAATTACACACCTGAAGAACCTCCCGCCAGTCCTCATCAATACAGTGGTTGGGCTGTTTACATGTTAACCGTCAAAATGCAGGGACCCCATCCAATGAAAAGCCAGCAAAACTATGTCAGTGTTCAAAAAAGGTGACGCCCTCGATATCGGCAATTACTGTCCAGTCCGCTTGCTCTCTGCCCTCTATAAATTCTTCACTCGAGTCGTCCGCAAGGTAATTGAAAGAGCACTGGACGAAGGACGGTCACGTGAGCAAGCAGAGTCTCGAAAAGGATTCAGTATGATGGACCACACCCACAAGATAATAGTACTCATTAAAGTGTAGCGAGAGTACAAAAGACCGCTCTATCTCACATTCATCGATTGAAAGAAGGCTTTTGACTCAAATGAAATGAAAGCAGTCATGGAAGCTCTGGACAATCAGGGATCCCTACTTAGTATATAAAGATTATTCGTGAGTTATATAAGAACTTCACATCCAAAATATTATCATTCTACTACGATATTAACATCAACGTCAAGAGAGGGGTTAAGAGAGCCCATTCCACCTCGGCAAAACTATTTACCGCCATCCTCGAGAACATCATGCGAACACTGAAGTGGGCCAACATGGGAGTGAAAAGTTGAGCGGGAGGAAGCGATAGGTTTAGGGAGCTCTCAAGGCATGGATGATATAGTGAAACGAACAAAGAACACCCAACTACGTGCTCACCTTTTCGACTCCACGATTTTCCCTGCTTTAATGTATGCACCTGAAACCTTGCTACGTAAGCAAGAAGAAAGTCCACTCAGCGTTATTGAACGCGCAATCGAAAGGCCGACGCTAAGAGTATCCCGTGTCACTCAAGTGAGGGAAGGGATCCGAAGCTACGATCTTCGTCAACGATCAAGAATCAAAGATGCCGTCCTGTACGCCAAAATACCGAAAATAAGGTGAGCTGGACACCTAATGCGTGTGGACGATAATGGATGGACAACAGCAATTTAGTGGACGGATTTTTCGGGATGTCAAACGCACTGTAGGAAGAACACTGACCCGATGGTCAGAGTTCTTGACCAAGAGCCTAGAAAACGGTATGATGCTCAACGATTCCCTTGAGCGAGCAGAACCCACTGGGCTACTCGTGCACGCGGCAAGGACAGATAGATTTGCTGGTTCACATTCGAGTCACTCGACGATCAACGTGACAACAGGTGACAGGTGACAGAGTTCAGAGCTAGTTTTTAGTATGAGCCATGCATTAAACTTCATTAGTAGAATTGTAGTAACATGAAGAACACGAAAACCTGTTGAAGGAAAGGATATGTAGAATGTTCAGACAATTTCCAGGAGAGAACGTAATGGAAAAGTATCTATTGAAGTATAAGAATCTGACTGATAAAGAATTGATGGAAGAACTCTCATTTGCAGCGATTTTTCACTTTGTTAAAATTTGATATAACACATCTATAAAAACCAGTTTGCGATAGAACAAGTTCGTCAATAAACTAAATCTTTCGCGATACATTTGATGTCACGGTCCATAAATAATGCATAGGTTTTTATTTTGCAACTAACGATCACAAAAGGATAAGTAAAGCTCTCGCCGTTGATCAATCCTTGAGGGATGCGCCATGCATTGAACTTCATTAGGTAACGTTGGAGGTGATTGAATGCACATCTGGCCTTTACAATGACTCGCGGTGGCCCACCGATGCACCAAGCCAATGCTGCTGTCCTCCAAGACAAGTTTGGTACCAATTCACCGACTCCGAGGGGATCGAAGGATTGGTGGGCCATGGGCAAGGGGAATAATTCCATTTGAGTGTTGCAAAACGCCTCCGACCATTGTGCCTCACACGACCTACGAACAAGCATTCAGTTCTTAAACTGTAGGAGTTAAACACCATCTCAAAGCAATTTAAGACCATTTAGAAACTCACAGACTCATGCGCCAGCTAGGAAGAAGTGATTTAATCAAACAAGAGGATAAGAAAATGACGTGGAAGGAACTAAGTAATGTTTCAGAGAAGGATCCACTATGTAACGCATAGACACTGCCATTCATTTTTAAGCCCGAAAGAAAGAAAAAACAGAAAAAATATCACAAAGAAAAAAAGAAGGCGCTCACCTTTTGCATGAGACCATATTGTTCGAGGATCGAATTATGTATCAGTGCCTTGAAATTGATATCAGAATTGAATGATGTGGTTAGTGAGGTGAATTGCTCGCGTATCGCATCGCTAACAGCTTTCATCACACTATCGATAACGATTACAATAGCAGGCGTAACTTTTCACATTACGTCAGAATATCTGAGTAAGTACAAGCGGAATAATAAAGGATAAAAGAAGGATAGAGCTCTCACAGTTGATCAACAATTCCTGGGATGTGCCACGCATTCGACTTCACTGAGCGTCGTTGGAGCTGATTAAATGCATATCTGGCCTTTACAATGACTCGCGGTAGCCTACCGGAGTATCGAACCAGTGTTGCTATCATCCCAGAGAAGTTTGGTACCAATTTGCCGAATCCGGAGGAATAGACAGCTTGGTGAGCTTGGTGAGTTTGGCGCGCAAGGATCGATCCCATGTGAATTACAGGGCGCCTCCGACCACTGCACTACACGGGCCCTCAGTAGAACAATCAATAAAAGTCTAACTGCAAAACACAACAACTGATGACAGTGGTTACTGAAATCACACGCAATTGAAAGAAATGCTACGGTACTCGAGTGATTGCTACAGCCAATAATAATGTAACATTCGATCATAATACCACGTATGCGTCAGTCAGTGACTCAGCCAAGGGCACTCTCCCCTCCCCCCACCCCGTCACCTGGCCATGTCGACGAATTTTCGGATATGTTCGTATGAAAAGATAATAGAATTCATCTACTATCGGAAAGTCATCTCCTCAGCACCAAGTGGTCCCGTCTCTAGACTGCTAATTGCCAATTTCTGAGAATTTAATGACGGGAAAAAGAGACCTCAGAGCTTTTCTTCGTTACTTTTTCGTTTTTGATCATCATTGTAGATGTTATTGCAGCTGTTGACGAAGTATTTGAATCAACACGACAACTACTTTTTCAATAGCCACAAAAAGTCGATTATTTCATCGCCACATATTGGCGATACAGCGGTTAGCGCGCACCGTGGTTAAAATGATGTCCCGGAGCAAACTGTGCGCCTGGTGTCCCACGATGATCACACAGCTGATTCCTCCGTGAGACTCCATGGGTTTCCTCTACTGTGATCCTGTTTCTCGCCGTTCATTCGTAACGCTCTTTTTCCTTACACCCTCCATTTGTTAAAATATGTGGCAACTTCCTAACCTACTAGTTTCATCCGCTTAGAATGTTCGTTTGGAAGCTTTGCTGATCTTCGAGTTTGATGCAGTTGTTTGATAGTACTTTTGTAGTGCTAGACATGACTGAGAAGCCTGTGATATCACAATTCATGAGGGATAAGGCAAGTCGAACGAGACTAGCAATCGAATCGTATTATGCACAAGTCGTTACTCAGGCTATTGAACGTGAATCGCGGGCTAAACGATTGGAAGAGAAGATGACAGCTGAAGGTACTTACTTGGTTTCATTTCTTCATGCTTACATTGTAACTTATAACTCTGTTATCGACTTTTCAGGCATCAATGAGGATGAAAAGGAGAAACGACGGAAGATTCAATACGCGAAAGAGACGGATTTCCTTCGTCTGAAACGGACTCGCTTAGAAGTAACTGATTTCGAAAGTTTGAAGGTCATAGGACGTGGAGCATTCGGAGAGGTTGTTTTTCCCTTTTTTTGGACTTTTTTAAACTTGTTTTAGGGCGCGCATAGCGCAGTGGTCGGAGGCGCCCTGCAATACATTTCCGATCGATCCCCTCGCCTTAAGCTCACCAAGCCTTCAGTCCCTTTGGAGGCGGCAAATTGGTACCAGACTTGTCTGGGAGGATAGCAGCGCGGGCTCGATACATCGATGGACCACCGCGAGTATGGGTCAGATGTGTATCCAGTCACCTCCGATGCTCAGTGAAGTCGAATGCATGGCGCACCCCTATGGATTGCTCAACTCCGAGAGATTTATCCTTTTTAGCCTTTATCTCCATGACATGTCTCATTTTTTCTCGTCTTATTTTTAGCGTTCGCTGAAATATTTACCACCACTCTAAGACAAAATGCCGTTCTAAGCAAACGTTTGAGGTCTATGCACAGTTGTCTACTATTGATAGGTTCGTTTGGTGCAGAAGATCGATAGTGGTCATATCTATGCTATGAAAATCCTTCGAAAAAGTGAAATGTTAGAGAAAGAACAGGTAATTGTTTTGATTTCTGGAGGTGCGATTTCCTCTTGTTCTTATTTGTTTAGACTGCCCACGTGCGAGCTGAACGGGACATTTTATCAGAAGCGGACTGCGAGTGGGTAGTAAAGATGTACTATTCATTCCAGGATTTCGCTAATTTGTATCTTGTTATGGAGTTTTTACCTGGAGGTAGGCATGTGTCTTATCTTCTTTTGTCGTATTTGCATTTTCTACTAGATTAAAGATGATATCAACATCTTATCTGACTCCATTATGCTTCCCTTTTTCAAGTTTTTTCGTTTTACCTTGTTCAGATTTAACCTATAATTCCCGGTGTGGAGACTCTGGTGTCCGTTAGTCCGTTTTGACCAAAGGATGGTAATGACCTACTTGGATGGCCCGTATTCACTGGTTGTGCGAACCTCAGCATAACTTCCATTTTTTCGGAGTTTTGCTGGTTTAGCCATCGTGGTTCTCTGGACTCCCGGAGTCAGCCTGGCCAAAGTCTGCCCAGATCGTCCCCAACACAGGCTGTCGTGGCCCTTGTGGTGGTTTACTATTGGCAAGGCTTCCTGGTAGAGACGCCGAACCCCTTCCCAGCATGGGAGACCCTTCCTAAGGTGAACCCCTGCTGTGCTTCGTAGCCCGACACCCAGGAACACCTCCGGGCCGCAATGAGGCGGTAAACCGTTGGGAGGTGTAATGATAACATAGTGTCTATTCCCAGTTTATTACATTCCAGAAAGTTTAACCTCACTATGTATATTCATTCGATAGGTAATCCAAAGTGGATTAAAATAGTAGGGGTGAGGCCAGATAAACCATTCTCTGAACTTGGTGATTTAAGTAAAACCTGTTTTGGAAAAAGTTCTTTGGCCGTTGATTTGATTAACAATTAAATCTTGTTTCGTTTTAACCTCTATGGTCATTGTATGGAATTTTCGGGTGTGAAAAACAACGAAATAGACGCAACATGGAGTGCAAGATCTTCCAAGTGCTGCCAGCAATGCATTTACATGACGGACCATACTAACACTAAGTGGTAGCGTACATCTCATTTATACCCGTAGAATGTCAGAATGAAGTCTCTTCTACAATTCTGTCATGTTTACAACACGTAAAGCGCTATTGTTATTGGAAAATTATTTTTCGTTGTCAAAAGGCCAAGAAGTCCACAGCCGATGAAGAATTTCTTGTCACCTTGTACTATTATTCATGACTTAAAATTTACGCAAGTATTCATTCTTACTTGTTCGAAATTATCTTTGAAAACGTGGTTTTCATTTCCTACTTTCAGGGGACATGATGACACTGCTCATAAAAAAGGACACTTTAAGTGAAGAAGCAGCACAGTTTTATATTGCTGAAGCCGCACTCGCTATCCAGTTTATTCATAATCTAGATTTCATTCATCGCGACATAAAACCTGACAATTTGCTCCTTGATGCACGGGTTTGTTTTTGTTTCCATTTTTATTTCTTTATATGATTAATAGGGTTTGATGAGAGGCCCTCCACAAATACGTCAAATTTAGGGTCATGTAAAGTTATCAGATTTTGGATTATGTACCGGCCTGAAGAAAATTCATCGCACCGAGCACTACAGGTGAACGAAAAATATCAAGTTCTTCAGTTTTCTCAACTATTTTTTGTAACTTTACGTTCCAGAAACTGGCCTTCTCAGCTGCCTTCGGATTTCGTTTCCAAACCAGTCGAATCAAAACGTAAGGCAGAGACATGGAAGAAGAATCGGAGAGCCTACGTTAGTTTCACCTTTTCGCTCTTCTTAAGTTTTTCTTTATTTATTTCAAATTTGAAGAAGGATAGATGGAAAATTCCACTATATGACATTTCTTCAAGGTTAGTTCTGGGGGAGGTCCAATTAGTAGTCAATCTTCACATGGATACTTTGATTACCCATGTTCACTGGATATGCGAGCTCAACATAATTTCCACTTTTCGGAGTTTTGCTGGTTTAGCTATTGTAGTCCCTGGAATGTCGAGGTCATCCTAGCCAAGGTGAGTCCTACGTCGTTACCATCACCGTCATTATGAATCGGAGGGAAATTTGCCACCATACGACTAGTTTGATACCGAACAGTGGTGGATCCTGGTATTGGTTTATTCTTAGCTGGGTTTCCCAATGGAAACACCGGACTGGTTTTCAGCTTGGCGGACTCTGGTAAGTGGATGAATCCAGTGCTGTACATCGGAGCCCGACATCCAGGAAGATCTCCCGGCCACGATAAGGCGCGAAATCGTTGAGAGGAGTCATTTTCACTCGTTTCATTTAAGATTAGTTAGTTTCGTAACGAACACTGTACAAGGATTTTACAAAATAAGTTATTTGAGCATTGTTGTCGCAAATTTTCACAATTTTCACGAGGCATCGAAATCTCTGTGGTGTGGTTTAGGTGGCACTATCGCACAGCCTTTGTTAATTTCTAGTTATTTCTTTTTATTTAGTAATATTTACGTGTTTTTTGTCGGTTGTCGGCTTCAGTTGACTTGCGTTATTGTACAATGTTTAGGCATATTCAACGGTTGGTACTCCTGATTATATTGCGCCAGAAGTATTCCAACCAAATGGCTACACAAAAAGTTGTGACTGGTGGAGTCTTGGTGTTATTTTATATGAAATGCTTATTGGTAAATAAGTCAACACCCATACCAAGTTCTTACTAGGATTATTGGACTCAGGAACTGTTGATAAAATTTTTGCTCTTTTTCACTCCTTTTATTGTCTAGGATATCCACCATTTTGTTCGGAGACACCACAGGAGACCTACCGAAAAGTGGTAAATTGGCAGCAGACTCTGGTATTCCCACCTGAGATGCCCATCAGTGTTGACGCGAAGACAGTTAGTTTCATTTCGTGACATATTTTATGCAGAAGTTGGCTGATTTACAACATTTTTGCGTTATAGACTATTAAGCGATTTTGTTGTGAACCGGAACGTCGAATGGGTCACAATGGAGGTCTGGAAGAGATTAAGCAGTGTATATTTTTCAGACGTGTCGATTGGAATCATATTAGGTAAGTGTACACATACCAAATGTGAGTCTTCTAATGATCTCTTACACTTCTCATCTGACTTTTCCTATATTTTTGAACTAGTGACGAAATTTTTTGGATTCCCTAAATATGTGTGACAACACGTCTCCAAATTGTCACCACATGAAGGTGGATTTCTTCTAAGAGATTGGCGTTACCCACTTAGTTTTAGTTTTAACTTGATCTTCGGATGTTGATGTTGATCTCTTTTTCTTGTATGAACCTTTGAAATGACCCCAGTGGTGTACAACTTTCATTAACCATTGTATTGTTTGAGCAGCGGCTAGTAATGTCTTGGTAACTGCTTATCTCGTACAAGAGTTGTAAAACGGGTTTTATTCACTTAAGGGGTATGAGCACTTTCATGCCTTCATCCACACTACTCATCGTTCAGATTTCCAATGCATGTGTTGTAGTGGGAAGAGCTGTAGTATCGACGGATGAGTGCAGAGTTACACTTTCTTTTTACTGAATCTTCGACACTGTGAAGATCCTTAGACCGCGACCAGCAGCTTTCTCCTGCTCAACTAAGCGTTCGTTGTATACAAGGTTAAAGCCATGGAGTTATTCGCTTGGTTCACTCTGACGAAGTCATCAAATTCGTGTCATCATCAAACACTCGTATTTCGTGAATGCCGTTATTTCAAGGTTCAGTTGTAGATCGCTTTTATACATGCGGTGTCGAACTGCTTATATCAACTACGCTGTTTCTTTTCACTCCCATGTTACCTCGTCCCACTTATTTACAACATTAAATGTTGTGTTAACTTTCTTTGGTATGATTTAATTTCTTTGTATTATAGAACAGCGGACTCACTGTGCAACTTACCCGAATTGAAGCATCAGGACAGTTTGAACTCTTGCGGCCCTTCGGTGTTCTTCAGTTATTTAGAAATGTTTTGTTCTTTGGAATAATTTTTGAAACACTATATGCTAACGCAGAGGGCATGTGGCATAGTGCTCAGAGGCGTCCTGCAGCACACATGAGATCAGTTCCCGCACCTCTGGCCCACCAAGCCTTCCATCCCTCGGGGGTCGGTAAATTAAGGCCAGACTTGTCTGGGAGGATGGCAGGACTGGCTCGATACATCGGTAGGCCACCGCGAGTCATTGTAAAGGCCAGATATGCATCCAGTCACCTCCAGCGATACCTAATGAAGTCGGATGCATGGCGCATTCCTCAATGATTGGTCGACGCCGAAAGCTTTATACTTTTATTCTCTATATGCTGACGCAGCTGCCATTTGTCAGTGGTTCTATCAGGTCTCGAGTGAAGAACTCGTAAAGAACCGGAAATGGAGAGGTTGGGAAATAATCAGCCATTTGGAGCAGCTCTCAGCACTTGGACAGCAAAAGGGCACACTACTATGCCCAGCTTATTGGTGAAAATCTCGACTACGTAGTAAACTTCCATAATCCTAATAGTTGTTGAAACACTTTGTCTACATCTCATTTCGAACACGGGAATCCCTTTGTGCTACAGTAAGCCGGAGGGATGATATCAAGAGAGATCATTTTTCAAAATAGTGTTTTTGGTTAGGATAGTTATCGCAGGATATTGTAATGTGGAGTTACTAGTAATTGTTCTTTTATTCCTATGCAAAATAAGCTACTTCTTGGTAGTATTTATATCAAGATACTTCATTTATAAGAGATATAGAGAAGTAGCCTGGATAAGGCCGAATTTCCTTAAGGTGTAGTGTAGTGTTTCTCTATAAAGTGAATAACGTACCAAATTTTGCAGCGCATTGAAAAAAATAGTTCAGCGATGTTAGCTTTTGATAGTCGAATTTCAATTTTACTTGGTTTGGCGCTAAGCCTTTCGTCTTTTTTTTCTCTTTTTCAAATTTTTGTTGATCCCATTGTAGTTACCTGAAGCGTTCTTTCCTTCCTGCTTAGTTCTAGAGACGAGCCTTACTTCTCCTTTCCGACTCAGATATATAGTGGAGTATTTGTGGATGACTGTTCTAGCGAGCGTTAATGAAGAGTCAGAGACGCCATTTCAATGCATTTCGTCATACGCCAATTTTTTTATTGAGTTTCATCCGAGGTCCTATTTTTCCATACACACTGTTGACTGTCCTTTTTGTCTGATTAATGGTTAGTGTAATGAGAATGATGCCCTTAGCGAAAGAAAGAATACATAGCTGCCAGCCGTGTACTTTAACTCCTATGTCATCCCATTCTCGAAGTTGGCGCTAAGTACTGAAATGCTGAGTTTAATCAATCCTTACCAAGTGATAATTATTGGCAAAACGGAAAAGGTTATGTCTTCCCAGCCGCCTATTAACGAACGCATTTTTTCGAGAAGAATTGTCCTCGCTAGACGTTAGATGGATGATTGCTTTTATGGGGATTGCTTGTTTATTTCCATGTAAAGCATGCCATGCTTATCGATAATGTTTTGAAACGCACATCGTATATATCTTATCACAAACTGCTCTAGATGAGAAAAGAAGTCAGTGTAGTAATAAAGTGAACAACGAGCAACCACGTTTGTGCTAACCAGCAGAGAATTTGCCGTTTCATCAAACGGTCAAATAGGCGCGCGAAATTTCGCATTTGCCGTTGGTTGGGTGCTGAGCTCTTTTAAGAGCTAAGCATCAAACACAGCGGTCAAAAACCGCGAAGGTCTTTGTTCTCAAGGCTCCTTTTTCTTATTCTATTAAGTTTTGCAGCGAAATCGTTCATTATTCGGACTTCGACCCAAATTCCTGGATATATACAAGTGGAATGTTTAGCAGTGTTGGATTCGTTAAATGTAAATGGGGTTTATAAAAATTAGGAAACCAGTATGCTTCTTATAAAAAAGAAACCAGTACACTTCTTATAAAAAAGAAACCAGTGTACTTCTTATAAACATCACTTGCTTAAGGTTTGATCTATTATCTACCATGTGAGGATTTCCCATATTCTGTTGAAGTGAAATCTATAAAAGCTGGAGTTCCTCCCTTTTCTTACTTGAAATCTCAGTTGACAGTCTTTTTTTCACAATAATTTCTTTAGAGAGCGACCAGCGCCTATCCGAGTGGAGGTGAAAAGTATTGATGATACCAGCAACTTTGATGATTTTCCAGACGTCGATTTACGATGGCGTAAGTCCGAACTACTTTCACCTAAATCTATTTCTTGACAGTAGAGTAATTAGTGGAAGTGTTAGGCCTATTACATACATTTTAGCAGCTCTTACTGTGCCAGAGAAGCCGGAGGAGCAGCCTGGTCATCGGGGAGAGTTTGTTGATTTCACTTATAAACGATTTGACGGACATACACAGAAGATGCGATACAACGAAATGCAGAAGGTATGTTTGTGGAATAAGTATTCAAAGGCAAGAACAATTATGCGCTTTCCATTGTAATGTGTTCTGTGTTCTCATCAGTGATTTTTACTGCCGTAATCGTTATTGGGCACATTATTTCTTGTTGAAAATTGTGCAGCCTGATCTCCGACAGTCTGTAACACTGGGATATATATGCATATTACAAGTGTTGTTGTTGATATTTCCTTATAACTAAAAAGAGAATTGAATTCGGAGTATCGGTGATGTTCCAGCAGTCACGCGGTCTTGGTGCACCTGGTGAAGGCACTCAATCAGTCGTCTAAGCCTCACCGTCGACACTGTTCTATCATTAGCTGTGATCTTTGGGTTGCCTAAAGTACTTCCCATGTGTATTATGTGTATTTCCCTCATATGTACAGATCCATATCTCTATTAACGTCTTTTTCCATTACAGCATTTGTAGGTTTGGAATTTATATTATTGAAGTCAATGCCGTTTTACTCTTCGGTTTGTGTTTATAGAAGTGTGCTTCATGTACTTGAACTTCTGTAGTAATTACCTTCGAGATCCACAGTCATTGTTGGAACGAAAATGCCTACAAAACATTGTATTCGTGTAGTGTTGTGGTATTTTCACTTCTAAACGATCAACACTGAGCTAGACTCATCGTCCTCTACTTTTATTTTATTACTCGGAAATGAAATGCAACTTTCATGTTGAGAAAGTTCATGATTTCAAGAGAAATCCAAAAGAAAGTGAGCAAGGTATTTAATTATCTAAAGCTTCCTGCTGGATATGGCTTAGATAATACTATAGATGTTAAACTCTGGCTATGGTTCGTAATAGTATTCGGCAAGCTTGTACAATATAGTCAGTAGAAAGTTTTAGAAATCCAAAAAATAAGCACAAAACACCTATAGAGTCTTTTTTCATCGCGCCTTTTGGATTGTGAAGTCATCCTGTGTGGAAGATACCTCGATCATTTCTTTTCTGTAAAAATAACGTCAATTTTAAATAAGTATTGCGGTTAGGAACATGCGTCATCAAACTTACCGATAAAGAACTTCAAGTTTCGTGCTAAGAAAGGACTTTGCTTCCGTGTTGTTTCTGAAGAGGATACCAGGTAATAATATTGTACTTAAGAAAAAATCAAGTTACATAACACTCACGTACTGGACATTGACTTGGACCAGCTTCGCTACAAGGAGGTATGCAAGAGAGTTGTGTTACATCTCGAAATAAGAAAATTCAGGAAAACGAATGATACAAAGAAAAGAACAGGTATAAATGCTCCAACATACAGTCTAAATAATCATCCTCATCAGAGGCTAGTATTCCACGAAGATCAGTGAGTTGTAGAGAGGCTTTACTTCTAGAAATCAATATGTTATCGTCACAACATGCTCGGGAATCCACGCATTTGTTTTAACACTCACGAAGTATGGAACGTATTCGGATTAGCGGAGTTGATCAATGATGGATCGACCATAACAGACCAATTGATCGACATGTCATCGTTAGTCGCATGAATGCTACTCTCTCCTACGGGATTCTCTAAAAAATTGAGTCTTCAGTTGGGATGTTAACTTGACCAACTATCTCCAAAGTTGACGGAGAAGAATAATTATGTGAACTAGAAATGTATAAGCTTGTATATGGTTGAACAACCATTTAGCTGTATCAAATATGATCAGTAGTGGAATAAAAAAAAATAAAAAGTAAAGCGCTCGGCGTTGATCAATCCCTGAGGGATGCCTCATGCACTCGACTTCATTAAGTATCGTTTTCAGGTGACTGAATGCATATCTGGCCTTTACAATGAGTCGCGGTGGCCTAGCGATGTATCCAGTCAGTGCTGCTATCCTCCCAGAGAAACTAGGCTCCAATTTGCCGATCCCGGTGGAATGGAGAGTTCGGTGAGTCTGGGGCGTAGGGATCAATCCCATGGGTACTGCAGGGCAGTGAGGTTCCGAACATTGTGGTACATGCACCCTTCTTCACGCGTTATATTAACAATCATTAAAAAGCAACGTTATCATTACAGAAAGAAAAGACAAGTGAGAAATGCCACTCATGTACTTGTCCTTCTTAATTAAAAGACAAGTGCAAAGAAGCTTAAGAAGATCTGTAATGATATCCTTAAGTACGTATCACCTTGCAATTCAGACGATTGACGACTTATCACTGGTTTATGAGGCATAGTTAAATCTGGAGAGATGGTTCGAAAATGAGTGCTTCGTGGTGCAGGAGTGTTCATCTTCACGCGAGATCGTAAAGATTGCAGTGAAATTTGAATGTGTTTAGCAATCAGTGACAAGAAAACTACAATTACCACTCTGAAAACAAGAATACGATAAACAAACGAGATTAAGAGCAAAGTTAATGCACTTAGGGATTACTCATTATGAAATAGACTAGGTCAAAAAGTTAAGAAGAAAGAGTACTTGTCGATAAAGTTGTGTTCTCTCAGTAAGTCTGATATGAAACGGAAACGATCAAAAATTTGATTACCCATAGAAAAACACCTACACCGCGTTTAGATACATGACGAAAAATATCCTTGTCATAGGATCTGCACGCAGCTTATCGAAGAATGATCTTAACGCTTTGTCAACTTCTTCTAAAGATAGTGGTATGTTCGCTTGCAAATCTATTTTTCGACCAAAAAAATGAGTCGACACCTTAATCTAAAAAAAAACAGAATCTATGAAGAAATGAAGAAGTGCGAAGAAATACAACCACAGCGATGCTGAGATATCCCGTCAATACCGCTGACGGATGGTTGCTGATGGCAGCGTTAGGTAGAAAACTAGCTGAGAGAAACGCAAAGCAACGACCTCAGTGGTGAGGTGTGCGATACGCGAGCCCACGGAAAACGTAGACGAGGTTCGATCTGGCCAGGGGTTCAAGTTTTGCGATTATCTCAGCATCTTTGTGGTTGTACTTCACATCATACCCTGCTGTGAACAATTACAGTAGGCAGCAAACAAAAGGCTAACACAGTGTCAATAAAGCTGGAACATGGCACGGCTAGTCCAGTGATGATATAATCATATAAGAATCACTTACTTTACCGTTGACAAAGTTTCGAAGCTTTGTGATAACACCTGAAGGTCCAACGAAAAAGTTCCTGAATGAGAGCACTTTAAGCCAGTTACATTCTCATATGGAAACGAATAATTCTTCAAGTTAATGTCAAATATGGTTTTCCTCAGCTGATCATAATACAACGGTATAGAATATTATGAGGTTGAGGAAATGCTTGAAAGTCGAGATCGAAAGTAGGAATAACAATAGCTTGTTCTCTACTTGACTCCATGAGTTTTGAATCAAACACTTTAAAAAGCATGCCAGTATTAAAAGGATAAAAGGATAAAGCTCTCGGCGTTGATCAATCCCTGAGGGACGCACCATACATTCGACTTCACTAAGCGTCGTTGGAGGTGATTGATTGCATATCTGGTCTTTACAATGACTCGCAGTAGCCTACGAGAAGTCTGGCAGCACTTTGCCGACCACGGGGGCGGATCCCAAGTGTGTGTTGCAGGGCGCCTCCGACAACTGCGCCACACGCCCCTATACCAGTCCTATCTTTGTAAAAAGTAATAGAAACAGGAGAAAAAGAACGATGTAGCAACTCATTCCCACTTTGTAGAATGAAGTATGGATTCGATAAAGGCTGGTACTTTTACGTTAAACACGTTTCTTTCGTTGTTAGGTTGCTGAAGAATCTGAAAAGGAACATTTTGAGAAGAATGAAAGCTTCTAGCAACGCCAATAGCTTGTAGACTTTCAACAAAAGTATGAAATTACTCACTACATATGCTGTTTACGCTTGTATTTCATCCTAAAAAATATATTGATTGAAATAAGGACATAGAAGGCAATACCATTCTCACAACTAAAACTGTTTAAAAGGACAAAAGATAAAGCTCTCAGCGTTGATCAATCCGTGAAGGATGCGCCATGCATTCGTCTTCGTTAAGCACCGTTAGAGGTGATTGAATGCATATTTGGTCTTTACACTGACTCGCGGTGGCCTGCCGATGTATGAGCCAGTGCTGCTATCCTCCCTGACAAGTCTGGTACCAATTTACCGATCACTGAAGGATTGAAGACTTGGTGGGCTAGAGGAGTGAGAATCGATCACATGTGTACCGCAGGGCGCCTCCGACCACTGCGCCACATGCGCGCATTAGCTCTGACTAGGTATAGCATTCCTTTGAACATCAAGCAATCATATAGGGCAAATAACTAAGACGTACGTCCGATCTTCTTAGACGAATCGGTGCTCGTTCAGAATCGACTGTATTCAACACTGATGGCAGTGAAATGCTTATAGGCAGAAGTACTACTGCCAAGACTATGGATATTCTCACCATCGACCCTGAAATGCGATTAATTATAAGATAGATGGAGACGGAAACCTTTCTCTAAGAGACTGAGACGTAAATTGGAAATAATAATAGGTTAGTGTCACTAGGAAAGAAGGGCACAAATTTAGAGGACTTCGCTCACCCAGCGCTGAAATGGTCCCGAAGTGATTTTCTGAGCATTGATTGATTTTGATCTATCTAAATTGGCGCGGATCGTCTACACCCGGACATTTCGGGTAGAGCTGCTTGTTGTTGTCATCATCGACAGATTACTATTTCACTATTCTATTCTTCTTCTTTTCTTCCTGTCGCTTCGCAGGTGCTAGTTCTTTCTTTTAAACTAGTTCTTTGTTTTTCTAAACGTCTTTAACTTTACGATTTAGGTGTTTTGAAATGACTCAAGTCATTCAGTATCTAATCGAAATTCTCCCGAATCATTGTAATTAGCTAAGTTATAAGAAAAAGAGTCATTCAAATTGGAAACGCGATGGTGTTCGGCGATCGTCGACAGTTGGGGTAAGTACATGACTTTTACGAATTCTTTTCTTTCGAAAACTTCCTTACTTACTTCGGTACTCGGACGTTCCGTCCTCACTGGTTGTTCGGGTTCCAGCTTATTCTCCATTTTTCTCTCTCTTGCTAGTTTAGCCCCTGTGCTTCCCTCTCCCGAGGTCAGACCGGCCAAAGTCTGCTACAGGTCGTCATCTCCACAGGCAGTCGCCGCTTTTGTGGATCAGAGGGAGATTTGCCACCATGCGACTATTTTGATACCACGACGGTGGTGGATCCCAGTATCGGTTTCCTCTTAGCTGGGCTTCCTGATGAGAACGCCGGACTTCTCAGCTTGGGATACCATGCGGGGGGATGAATACCCTCGTTGTACATCTCAGCCCGACGCCCAGGAACACGTCACAGCCATGATGAGGCGGTGAAGGCAAAAATTCCCTAGCTTTCTGATATTGACTGTTGAAGAGTTTGCACTTTGTTTTAATAGAAGACGTGAAATCCTGAGAGGATTGCTTTCAGTTCACAGTGTGTGTTAGTCAGATTTGATATCGTCGTTGGTTTGTCTATTTACTAACTTGTATTGTAAAGACAGTATCAGAAATCTTTCTACTCCATGTACTATCAACTGATGGGCCTCCTATTCATCTTAGTTGCATGTTATTTAATTTTGTTTATGTTTCTGTTCCAGAGATTTCCATGTATTGTGGAGTGGTGCGTCTATGTATAATATGTTCACTTGCGTGTATATGATTACATACACAGATTATTTGTTCGTAGTGAACGTGGTATGTATGTATCTATGTATATGTCCATATATGTTTCTTAGTGTGTATCTGTGTACATCCGTATGTATATGTATGCGAATGCACATGTGTGTATGTACAATATGTATTTATCTAGCTATAAATCCGATCCATAAGGCCGAATTTCTACTAACCTCGGCATTGATCATGCAACTCACTGTTATCTGATGGGGTAACACGAGATTGTTAATAAATATTGTTATTAGTAATCTCATGTCAGTTCATCAAGAAAACGGTAAATCGATTATTCTAATTTTTCGTCCATGTCCAAGAATGAACGGACGAAACGCAGTGATTGGAAAAACATCGTACACTACATGTATTGTCGCTGATTTGACTCCTCAACGCAGGAAAGCGCCAGACCTCTTCTGGATCGGCAAATTGGTACCAACCTCATCTGGAAAGAGCATTTTTCGATTCACAGAGATCGATAACTGCTCATGATGAAGATCTGAGAAAATTCGAGCATTGTTGCCCACCCACCGATAAAAAAAATCGACTCGACGAGCATTTAGCGTATCCTCAACTGACAGCCTACACGCGAAAATACGATGATCTCCATGGTTTCTTGCTATAGGACAACGAACTGAATGGAAAAAGTGCTGCGTTCCGCACAACAAGCGAAGCCCGGCAAGATGAAAATAACTCTGATTTTAGAATTAAGTTAACCATACAGTATTAGATCACTATGATTCTTTTGATTCGATGGTCATTTGTGGTAACAACTTCTATATCCATTAATTTGTTTTCTTATCCCAACTCATTCACTTAAGCATTTATCTATTCAGTAGTTATTTCCAGTACTCACAAAGTGTAGTAAAATAGCGTTGAGGAAAGGCTTGTGATAAAAACATCGCAATTTCTGTTCACTACAGTATTGTCTTGAGTCAACGAATTTCCTATACTGCGTTATAAGCATAAAAGCCTCTCAGCTCTCCATGATCGGAGAACTGGTACTTGACTTGCTTTGAAGATGAAATTACTTAGTTGATAGTCATGAGTTTAGGTAGCTGAAATTTAATGTTTAAGATGAATGTACACCTTTACGATGCTTAATAGAGGGCGCACCCGTGCGGAATTAATGAACGCCAGACTCTTTAACCGTCCATCCTTTATAATACCATCTACTGATCTGTCAAACGTTAATCATCTGCTACACATTGACCAGAAGCGATTATGAGTAGTGTTTTTCTCGAGACAGAGGTGGGATTCAGGAAATTAGTTTTTCGTGTGTGCCATATTAAACCATAAAGTTCTTGCATGCATGTAATCATATTCATGCAGATATCTGTAGGTGTGCTGGCGTATATCTCGATTGTATCCTTGCTGGTTAATTGACCGAAAGCCCACACTTAAATGGTTGGGGAATATTATACATGCGAGGCGGATCAGATTCACCACCAACAAATAAGCCTGTTATATACTTCGGAATAATCCGGCGTGCAATTCGCATGTGCTCATTAGTAAATGAAGGACTTCACACTGAAGATTTATGCTGTTCGTTTATCGTGAGAGAAAGAAATTCAATGGGTAGTCCTGGTCTTATTATAGGTGGCAACGGAGAATTTACTGATAGCTACTGAAGTTTTCGTTGAGTAGGGGGATTACAAGTGATGAAGATGATATATTCCCATATATTACTTTTATAAATGGGTAGTTTATTCAAAGAATATTTCTCTATTATGTAGGAACGGCAACAATAAGTTAATGCACTCCAAATAAAAGATGCTCTGTAGAACAGATGAAGTCAAACAATTAGCATTGAATCTTGCAAGCTCCTTAAAATAATCACTAACAATGTTGAAAATACAATGAGAGTCGCGCCGAGTTCAATGGAACACAGTGTAGCATTCAAATTGAATTAGTTCATGAATATTATTGGTATATAGAAAGTGTCGCAGTGCTGAGGATGTGCTGAGAGTTGTAAGAAAATTGAAGACGATGGAGAAAGAGTATTCTGCGGTCGGCAGTGGGAAAACATTATGGAGATTCATAACAGGCACACTTGACTAGAAGTATACGACGTTCGAAATCCGATGTACTTCGGAAGCTACTTCATCTATGACATCTCTATCCAATGCTAATCTTTAGCAGCGATCATAAAACTAGACGCTATAGACGCTAGAGGTTCATGCCGTGTGAACAGGACCACTTCACTGTCCACTAAATGTGGTTGTTGCGTTTATTTTAAATTGAAAATGATTCAACCGACTGTGTTTTTTCTTCGCTAAATCTCGCAGCTATCGTTAATAAGACGAATATATTCAGTTTCTAGCACAAATATGACAACTGTGAGCTTGAAAAAGGGGTAAGCTTCTGAAGAACATCAGGAAAATCTGTTGAAATCTCTTCAGGAATCCGGAACGGCATCTGAAGAGACTTTAAAACACGAATTCATTGAATCCTAAAATATGGATTCTATGTTCTTATAAGAGATTAATGTAAGTGAAATGAAGGCATGCCAGCTGCTCGTGCTACTCGGGCGTTGAAGTGGCGCAATGGCTGAGAAAACGCAGAGAGCTAGAGCGACGGCATCGCGTCCATATTAGTATATCTAGGTAAAGAAAGACGATTAGGACTCTAATAATTATAATAACAATAGTAGTACTGAACTGAGGAGTGAGAAATAGGAGAGGCGACAAGACGGTATCGATTGCTATTATTATACGATATATATATGTATATATATATATATATATATATATATAATGTATTACACGAAACCGCTAAAGCAAAATAATTATTGCTGATTGGTCGAGGATGGAGTGAATGTTGAAAGTATCATATGTGTGGTAGATGAGAAGGGTTGTTGAAGAATGAAGGCGAGAGAATGATTATGATGATAAACAAGAAGAATGATGACAATGATGATGATGGTGCTGAAGTGAACGCTCAGACGTCATGCATCTTGCCTTCTTTGTTATCACAGTAATTGTTCCACAATGTTTTCGCAAGCTCATAACATGGTAGCTCGCCGGCATGTGTTGCTACCATTCGTAGTAAAAATACGCCGTCCTTTAAATAAAAACAATTACATGTTGAGCGAATTTTTATTACTGTATATATTTTACAACTCGTATAAGATGTCATTCTACACAGTGGTCTTGACTTTTAGTTAACGACATTCACCGATAATGTTCTAAACTCCGACCACCCCCAGCAGGTTTCAATACTTTGGTAAGTTTTTTTTATAAAGTACTATTAAATTCCAAATGGAAATTCGTTTTGATCTCATAATGCCCAAATTTTCTAGTGGAATATACTCCAACTCCATTTATAGTGAAAAAATCCATTTTTTAAGTTAATGATGTGTTTGTGGTCTTTCCTCTAGGGTTTTGTTGCGAGAATGCTGACAATGTTACCTGTCGCAGAAAATGGAAGACAAATCTCCGCAATGACTGTGAGTCAACCATCTTGTAGCCTTCAATTCCAGTGAGGTACTTTCCCACGAAGTTGAGTTGCCTGCAATCAATTTTGCCTGTTCGATAACCTTATAGAATGACGTCATGTGGTGGACAGATTTTCTATGTAAGTTTTCTCGAATAAAGCCTTAAATACATTAATGTTCGGCATTAAGCTTTTCAGTGACTAAGGATTTCATCGTTACTCCCCACTCTTTTTAATTGCAGGCTATATTACGAAATATAACTTCAATGATGCTGAGATATCTGCAAAACTCCGGACCGAAGACTTAGCTGAGAGAAAGGCGAAACGAAGAACCCGCATGGTGTGCTGGTGAACGCGTTACTCCCCGGAAAGGACAATAGCGCGTTCGTTTCCCACCGTAGACACCTGCGGTCCGGAGTTTTGCAAATATCTCAGCATCATTGAAGTTATATTTCGAATATATTTGAAAGCATCTCCCGCCAAACTTGGGTACACGAAGAGCGTAATAAAGACAATTCACTACAATTAAAATAAAGTGGACATTTTCTCGGAGAATGTGGTTTATGACCCACCTCATCTTTCCAAACCACGTCATCAATTCAAAAAGGTTTTCATTTCTCATATTTTCGGTTTACGCTACATTCAGTCACTGCTTTATGATTAAAGCATGAAATAGTGGAAGAAGAAGAGAAGAATGGGAACAACATGCTATAGAGAATATTCTGTGCAACATAGACAATATTCTCTGTCTACTTATACCATGCTTCACCTTCTACAGTGATTATAAAATGTTGTTAACTTTTCTCATAAACTGCTGGATCGTATTTCTTGTGCCGTTTCGCTAGCACACCATGAACTGATGGAATGAGCCTGGTCAATCTGCATCATTAGCTATACATACCTGCGACTAGTACTGTAAGAGTACCTGCCTCGGCAATCTTGCAAGTGTTTCGACCAACTTCCTAGCACACTATCGCGATTCTACCTAACTACAGCTCTTGCTCTATTTGTATGATGCCCCATTTATATCTCATTATTCATCGTATTATTCTTGCACGCTCGTTTCATTATTCTTATTCATACGTATATCTGCCGGTCTTGCTATGATGTTATTGTTGCGCTGATATTGCTTAAATGGAGGCTAAAATACTCAAGTTTCAGTCTTGGCATAGGTGCAACACACAGCACCACGCCCCGCGTGGTCGAACAACAGCAAATCTGCAAGCGCCGAAGGGCGTAGCAACGCAAGTTCATTCACACTTCAATCTGTTCTCACTTCAGATGCAAATGAGGGGTGGCCTATGTTGAACACACGATAAGCCTTATGTCATGCTTGAATTTCTGAGACGCATATTACTAGATACATCGAAATAAGCAAACCTGCTTGGCACCACTGAGATATAGATCCAGTAAAATAAAGAACAAACGGTAGCACCTGCCAGCAAAAAATACCAGAACCTGCAAATCTTCTGTGTTGTAAAAAACATGGTCTTACGCATGTTAGTTACATCGTTGAAGAAAAAGAAATGACTGAGAATGACTATAATGGTTAACTCAGAGTTATTTTTGAAGCTAGCATACTTTAGATAACGGTAGTATCATTTCACTAATTAAACAATATTCATCACAAATGGTTTAGGAATAAACCAGAAAAGCACGAGTTTTAAAACATTTTAGGAAGTAATATGTATGGTAACAAATAATAAATACTATTCTTCATTCTGAGAGCTATTTTTCCCCCTCCCCAAACGGCACTCAAAATTCAAAGTTTTGTAGTACTTGTCAGCACTTATCTTGAAAAAACTATTTTGGTTCGTTTCAGATGACCTACCCAGCCGATACTTCTAAAGAAAAAACAGGAAACTTAGATTTAGAAAATGGGATGATTATAAGCGATTCTCTCGCGACTTTTCTAAAGTCTTAAGTGTTTCTATATTGCAACTGAAGATAACAAACTCTATGGAACAGTAGAATACACATCTAATAGTTCACGGTTTATAACCTAAAATTCCCTAAAAAGCTTAATGAAAAGAAATGATAATTTTCTACCAAAAATACATTTAACTCCGATGAATGATGTTACCCATATTGAAAAAACAAGAGAAAATCTGAAGACTTGTATCAATTGAAATGGTACGATTACAATTCACTGGAAATGCGAATAAAAATGAAACTCATAAAATAGAAAAGACGAAAAAAGAAAGAGAAAGCAAAAATATCTCTGCTCACCAAAGAAAAAGGAATATTTTTTCGTTGAACATATTAATCATCAAGACACACTGGACAGTGTGGCGATGAACATTTCCTAATACCTGGAATAGAAATCTTTGTATTTCATTTGATTTTGGGTCTTGTCGATTGTCAGGTGGCACTAACATGCTATTTTCTATTTACCTCAACATTGTTCTTTTTCTCTTTTAGTTTTAGCGAAGCGATTTTCTTTATTAGTTCGAATTGTAGTGATGCCCTTTAATACGAGGATGGTAATATCGCCGTAGTGATGCCTTTTAATATGAGCAAGGCTCTAGTTAGACCTCATCCGATCTAACCAAGCCGCCACCACACCTAAACTGATGATCGACTTTTCTGTGATCATCTCAATCTGTCCGATCCATAAAAGCTGGAAACTGCGTGTAACGAAGATTTAGAGACGTCCTCGTATATTTACTTCACGATTTCATGGCTAAACAACTCTGTCTGCATACAACGACTTTTATGAAGGAGAATTAGACCTTCAGCACGAACACATTCACATAAGTACGAAGACATTCGTGGATGACGGATTCGAGGAAACGAACCAAATAGAATAATTGCTTGGGAAAAAAGATAAGTGAAAGAGATTTTAACATATGGAAGTGTGGCCCACGGAAAGTCGAGAAATGTGTGGTTTCCTTCTTGATACATGTTGTTTTTAGAACACGACTTCTTGGAACAAATAGAAATCTTCAGTGGACTTATTGACTATCGTTACAAATGAAAAGTGTTGAGTATTTGATTGATCTCCGTGGATGGCACCGTGGTTTTTTATTGTGCCCGATTAAGACTGAAGATTCTCTATTCAAAGATTCTACTTAAGCGCAAGCGAGAAAAAAAAGAAGAAAACTCTTGTTGTTGCTCGCGTAGGAAAATAACACTCGTAGTAACAGATGTAATTCTTTCTAGACAAGCCCTGCTTATTGATGGGAAAACGATCGAAAGACATTAGCCGTTCGTCAGTGGACTCCGAAATTTGGTCCAACATAGCTCGATATTTCAATTAGGAAGCACTAACCACACGAAACCACCCTAGAAGAGTTGACCGGAACGGGAAGGAGGTTGAAGTTAGCTCCGACCGCAGTGCACTTCTTATAGCTGATAAGAAAAAGCAGTTGTTGAAGCGCCTTTGAGAAACTTATAACAGAAAAAAATGCTCTCTAATCAGCACTTCTAAACCTTAACATGATTTATATAATTTTCTATCGCAAACTAGATACACATACGAAAAAAGGTTTAGATTTTCCATGCCTTAGTAACCGTAGAGGACCCACTATGTCACGGTTGCCATTCCACTGGGATATAATTCTGACAAGACGACATTATTTCAAAAGAGCCATTCAATAATGAAGAAACGTTAGATGAATTGAAGAAAAACTTCTATTAAACCTCCATCTTGAAAGACGCTTCAACGATTACTGCGGAGGACATGAAGGATGATCTATAAAGAAAACGGAAAGTACTGAGTTCTTCATAAGAGCTTTCGGGATCATTGAAAGACGATACCATACTAGTTATACTTTATGATCTCTATCTTCACCTATTCAATTCAACAGTTCTTCTAGTGTTTTACAATGCACTTGAAAGGTGGGCGGACACCTCAACTACGTAAAGAATATTGCACACATGAACAGTGTTTCTTAGATTACAGCCATAACTTCCAGCATCAATTTGGAGTAGATAGCTAAATCCTTCAACAAATAACCTAGTATTGAAATCCATCAGAATAAAGATCTAAAACGAAGCGTCGTGGTGGATGCCCATCCACTAAAAGAAAAGTAAATGAAAGACGGATGCAAAAAACTAATAGAGTGTAGCCAGAGAGGGGGCAATATCGGGTGCAAAATTCTCTAGGAACACGATGGAATCCATTGTTTATCGGGTCACCAAGTAGTGTTTGTGGTGAATGCGATTTCTGAATCTATGGTTACCAGTAACAATATCAGAAGACGCAGCTTCGTCGTTTAACTAGCAAAGTTCAGGTGAACCATGCGAATGGTCCTCTTAGCTTTTGCTCTTCAACCATTATTGTTTCCTAGTTTTCTCTATTGTTTTCCTTTCTCACTCCTTCTTAGAGTCTTTTAGCTAGGATCGGAACTACCACTTGCTGGTTTGTCGTTGAAAATGACTGGATTGCAAGCCTTAATAGCTAATTATGTTGGGTTTTTAAAACCAGGGAAATTTTGAATGAAATAAGCGGGCAGACACAAGTAAATGAAAGAAATCATCCTATCATTACGGGTCACTTCGTTCAAAGAAGCGAATCAGTCCCCAACATTCTTACTGAGAACTCAACGTCGTTGGTTCATCTGGAAACTATAGCTTGCAGAGCTGCTACAGTACCTCAACACTGGATGTTCCATTTCTTCACTTTTATTTACATTTCCACGAACGTTTAAAGGTAACAAATATAAGTGACAGGACTTCCGATTAACCGTCAATGCGACACAAATCCACCTCCGACGGTTAGTTAATGCAACTTATACAGAAACGACTATTCAACTAAACAGTCGTTCAACTATCGTATTATCATAACTGTCATTGTTGTTATCAATATCAATACTGTTTTTCACTATCTCATTATTCAACCGCTGCCCCACTACAAAATGTAGCGCATCAGTCACTGCAATATTTTTTGAATCGGTGGCAGCCACTACAACAGCGGTATAAATGTTTTCTAGCTATAATACATTGATCCGACTATACTTGGTAAGCAGGTGTACCAGTTTTATTTAAAAAATCATATTTAATCTCACACCTAAACGAAGTACTTTTCAGAGTTAATAGTATATGGTAATACAAGCCAGTATTTAAGAGAGTTAAAGTAAAGCGAAGTAAAAGTTAAACTGTAGATGGAAATGTTGCAAGAAATGACCAATTACTAAAACGTACTTTAACTTCAAAGTCACATAGTGTGACACGGGGAAAGTGACCAGATTCTTCCCATTCACGTCCGTTCATCAGATCGTTCAGCACCTTGAAGATGGAGCATTTCCAACAATAATGGGGATTTTTTTCGTCGATTTTTTTTTTGGCTTTATATTAGCAAATATCATATAAAGATGGATGAGAAACGGAGTAACAAAAGTCAACGAAGACTGTTAAGCGAAAAATGATGAGAAGAAGATGTGTATCTGAAAACTTGTGGAAAGTGCGATCAAATGCTAGGAAGAAGTTATGCAGGAAAAGTAGAACAGTACCGAATTACTGGAGTAGCTAAATACAGATACTAACCTGTAGTCCATACCATTTGCTTCGATTACCTAGGAACGTGTTCAAAAGGAATATTTGTCCAACAATATTAACAGTATAGAGGATTTTCACAGAGATGTAAAGGAATGTGACGGCAGCACCGGATGAACGCGTACAAATTATGAGATTTAGTAATTTCAGACGATTTCCGCTCATCTGAAAAGTTTGACTGCAAGGAGGAAATTTTTAAAAGATGATATGAGAATCAGATACTGAAGGATATGCTAGTTTCATGAGGAAAAGTTCCTACTATTGCCGTATGTTTTATTATATCAAATACAGTCCTAATAGCTCAAATCGAAAAGCGAAACCATGAAGAAAATTTGATGTTCTTTATAACGAACTCTTTTCAAACGGCTATAAACCACTATTTGCAAAACTCTGGACCGCAAGTGTCTATGGTGGGGAACGAACGCGCTTTTGTCCTTTCCGGGGAGTAACGCGTTCACCACCACAACATCCGGGTCCTTTGTTTCGCCTGTCTCTCAGCTATTTCTATCGATCTTTTGCCACAGCAATCACCATCAGTGAGATTGATCTGGGGCGCCCAAATCGGCATAGGACCCAGTTAAGCTGCGGCTTTCGCTTAGTACCCTGCCGCGAAATTATAGTAGGCAGAAAATAAAAAGGTATAACATTGTGATTTCAACTACAGCCACAGCTTAACTGGGTTCTATGCCGATTTGGGTGCCCCAGATCAATCCCACTGATGGGTGATTGCTGTGGCAAAAGATCGATAGAAATAGCTGAGAGACCGGCGAAACAAAGGACCCGCATGTTGTGGTGGTGAACGCGTTACTCCCCGGAAAGGACAATAGCGCGTTCGTTCCCCACCATAGACACTTGCGGTCCAGAGTTTTACAAATATCTCAGCAACGTTGTGGTTGTATTTTGCTTAGTACCCTGCCGCGAAATTATAGTAGGCAGAAAATAAAAAGGTATAACTAAGATGATAATTAGAAAAATTAATGTCGCCTTGAAGAACATCCGAAAGAGAAGAGGAAAATAACTTTTTTCTACTTTAACCTCGAGAAAGCACTTTTCTAGTTATTGTTCTCGTAACAGCAAGGAAATTTCTTCGGACTCATCAATTTTGTCGTTTAAAAGAAGCACTGTTCAATCTCAAACGGAAAATTGTTCGTAAACCGCACAGATGCCAATTAAATTTTCACATAGACAACCCTCAATTGGAAAATTCTTTGAGGTTTCCGACCAAAAGTAACGAATACAAAAAATTCTATTTCATAATAAAATAGGCGAGAAGTGCTAGGACTGCGGTACTTACCATAATTTTCTTGCACAGAAGATTTTGCGGACTGGCGCGAAAATAGGCAAAAAAGCATTTTAAAAAAAGTATAACAACGGTGGGATTTCTTTTTGCTTTGGATACCACGATTCCTATCAAGAATTCCACATAAGATTCGTTTCCACAAATACAGAAATTTTGACAATGTTCCATACTGAATTCATTAACTCTCTTTGATTAATGATTTACTCATTTTAGTTTGGTGGTAATCCTGACTGTTGAACTGTATCATTGGGTTAATGGGGTCAGTGAGTGAGGCGGGTGAAAAGCGAGAGTGCTGATCCATTCACCACAAAGTCACCAAAGCCGTGGAGTTTGACATTTCCATCCACAAGCCAAGTTAAGAGAAAACGAACCCCGTAGCAGGAAAGGAGGAGATGCAAGTCGCTTTCTTCAAGTTAGAAAAAAGGATATTGCGTCATACCAAGGCTATGGGGCCTCTTTGTCTGATCCGAAAGCATGCCCATTTAGCAGCCCCAGTGCTTGACGGGGATGAATAAAGTTTTGTCTTATTCGACCGAGTTACTCGATCATGAAAGGTAATATAGGTAATAAAGGAGTACGTGTGGCGTAGTGGTTAGGGGAGCCTGGCAATGCGCACTTGATCGACCGCTGGTTCAGTCGTGCCTCCCATACTTACTAAGCCTTCCATAAATTTGGGGTTAGGCAATTGGTAGCAGACGTCTCTGGGAGGATAACAGCACTGACACGATAAATCGGTAGGCTGCCGCAGGTTATTTTATAAACCAGATATCACCTTTACGATGCTCGATGAAGCTGGATTAAAGGCGTGTACCTCTGGGATTAAGAGCGCGAAGCGCTTCATCTCATATCCCTTTTTACAAGTGATAGAAGCATATGTAATCCGATTTGCGAAACTCACAACAATCAACAAATCCGATAATACTACCACTTCACAATCATGCAAGTAATAGTTCCCAGGATCGACTTTCTATTAACCTCGGCATTGGAATATGAATGTGCCGTTTTCTTGTTCAGCAAACGCGAGGTTTTTAAACAGCATACATTTACTTCCATAGAAAAACACAATACAATACAACGATAGCTGACGTTTCAGCAGTATCGCCTTGTTCAGAGCCGCTTTTTCGTGACTTCCAATGAGGAAGTTTAGAACAGCTGATTATAGTCGCATGTGGTTGACGACCTCAACCACAACCACAATCGTCCTCAACCACAACCACAATCGTCCTCAACCACAACCAATCGTCAACCACATGCGACTATAATCAGCTGTTCTAAACTTCCTCATTGGAAGTCACGAAAAAGCGGCTCTAAAGAAGGCGATACTGCCGAAACGTCAGCTATCGTTGTATTGTATTGTGTTTTTCTATGGAAGTAAATGTATGCTGTTTAAAAACCTCGCGATTGCTGAACAAGAAAACGACACATTCATGCAAGTAATGTTCTATTAAATACAGTTTTTCTAACGCAATTGCCTTCATTTTTCAAAGATATGTTTACGAATCCATTGCAAGAAAAAGCGAGACTGCTATTTCTACTTACAACGACGAAGGCTATTCTAAACTACGAAATTGACACCCGTACACTATGTTTTCATTGTGCATATGATGGCTTTAGGTTGAAGAAAGCTTCTGTTAACATAGAGGCTGAAAAAGAGCTACTTACAAAAATTTCATAACTTTACTACTGTAGAATTACTCAAATACAACAACTTTATCGCAAGCTTACGAAATCATCGTCCTCCTTGAATTGCACACTACAGCAATAGGACTCTAAGCAAAGAAATTTGATCATACAGAAAAATATTAGACAGAAGAAACTGTGCTGCATTGCCATTGTTCATTAAAATTGGCCAACCAGTTATGTTAATATATGATTATCGCAAGCTAGTACATCTCTCTTACCGGCTTTTCATGAAATAGAATTTCTACAACAGGCTTTAGACAAAACCAAAAATTTACTATTGGTGTAAGTAATTCCTAAGAGATATTTGCCAACTTATGTCAATTTTTGTTGTAAAGGAAGTCGATCGCTTTTTCCGATCCTGGAAACAAATCGCATCCGTTCGTCATGTGCTTTTGGATAGCGCAAGCGAAGCAAAAAGAAGCGATGTCGAAGCAATTTTAAACAAAGTGTGCAACTCCATATATAGAAATAAAAATTTCCTATGTTCCATTGTGCAACGACTATAATCTGTGGTCAACAAGTTATGCATAAATAGCTTCATGTATTCGCCAAATTGGTTTTTTTTCTTCAGCGAACCAAATGTTACGGATGCGATGTCACACAACAGGTTAATGGCGAGGAATTTTACGTTTATATCCAGTTGTTCCAGACTGCTTCTTTTTATTCATAGCTACGAACATTTTTGAGGCTTAGGTGGTCGACCCGGCAAGACTAACAGTTGGGCGTACATTTGACTTTCATTTATCTTGTGGAATTCTTTAGATTAAAAAAAACCCCATAAAAAAGCGTAATTTTCCGAGAAGTGAAAAGCTTGGGCAATGGACAGAAAGTACTCATCGTTCTGGGCTTCATTTAGGGTTCCGGACTTCATACATTAGAATTACTATAAAAGAAGCACTTTTAGCTCTTCACAGTGGACGTCGATCCATAGTGTAATGATGTTCCGTGTGACCGGTACTTTAACGTCGCCACATGCCCGGCAAATTCGTTTCTTTGAGGAGAGAAATTTCATAGTGTGCATTCATTTGAGCAGAAGAACTCTGCATGTAGGAACCGCTATACAACGTGAAGAAAAAAAAAGTAAACTAAAGGAAACACCACCAGCACAAAGAGTGAGAACAAACGTAAAAAAGCGCTGATTAGCGAATTTATTTAAATACTAAACCAAAAAGTAAATTCTGTTTCCAAAACCACCCATAACAAGATTTTTCACAAATATTTTATGAAACAGATAAATAAGGTGATTATTCTTAGCTTATTCTCTTCGTTATTTGGATTATAATTGTAGCCAATCGCGACGATATTACATTGCGAACAGACATTATTGAGCATGAGAGTTCATACAACAGAATTAATGTCACAAAATCTAGGGAATTTCCGCCAAATCGTTTATGATGTAATAAATTTCTCAATATAAACCATATTATGAACATCATCGACACCTTCCGATAATTCGATAATAAAAGGATATAGCGCTCTACTTTGATCAATTCGTTAGGGATAGAACATCCCTTCGACTCTATTCAGCATCATAGAGGTGAATGAATGCTTATCTGGGTTATGTAAAAAATTGCATACGCCTGGCTACGAATCAAATGTGTCTTTTTTCCTCCTTCCGAACAACTCTGGCACCGATTCATCAAAGCCAGAGTAATGAGGGTTTTGGTACTAAGGTGCCAGCGGTGTCGAACCACCTGCGTGTATTGCAAGACACTCCTAATCATTGCACCAGACGTGCAACCTTATCCGATAACAGTGTTTATTATTATTAAAAAATCTGCAACGACTATAAAACAGTTTTTTTTTCGTGGTGTATAAACACTGAGTAGATGTAATGTAGCATTCATTAGAGCTTACCACTTGATGTTTAACATGCAACGCTTCTTCAACGTTAGTCGCAATAGTCTGTAGTGCACGATTTCGTGATTCCAAATCTAGTAATCGTGAATCGCATGCCATCTGGACTAGTGATTGAACGTGAATTCCTGAATGGCGAGTAATTCTTTTTTGCTATCGATAATTACAAAAAAAGCAATTTGCCTTCCTAAAAGGGAAAAAAAGACGAAAACTGAAAAAAAGCTCCAAGGATCGAGAAGCGTTGCCAATCACAATTATTTTCCTATGGGTGTTAAGTGTTAATCTATTCATAAACATCAATGCCTCTAATCCAGAGAATACACTATGTGGAGCTCAGAAACTTATACGAATTGACTGACGCCTAGCTAGAAAATATTTACTTTTTCTAGCATTTTCTTTCAAGGTTTTTCGATAGTTCCATCCAGTAATGCACGTTGAAAAAAGAACGTGAATAGTGTTGTTTCTTGTTTCTGAAGAACAAATTTAACCTATATTTATTGATTGCAACCAAGGACAAAGGTCCATTTGAAACTAAGTATGATCTAGCATATGTTAAAATGATAGAAGTAGAATGTTCCAATCAAAATGGAAAAATACAGTAATTTTACGACCGCAATGGAATAAGCCGGCCATTTACTCTCTTATTTCCTCAAATGAATCGAACGTTTTCGTTCTTAATCATCTAGATACTAAATATTCACTGCTCTTTATCGAAATTCTAAATTTCCATAAAGATGAAGATGTACAAAATAGTTTTTAAATAGTTCGAAAAAAGCCTAACCTGACTGCCAACTCAGCAACCTCCAAACGATCGTTGGTACATAAAATAACAACGCCTCCAAGGCTAACACAAATGGTACCCATTGATAATACCTAAGAAAAAAGAAGAATAAACGATTAATAGAAGGAAATCTTTATAGTGACGGACTTCTGTAAAATAAGTCGTCCGATATTAGATAGTGTGTTTTAAGGCTGAAAAGGCTGAAGGTAGTGCAACAACATAGTTGTTCCATTGTGCGGCAAAAATTAGAACATGCGCTTATTGTTCTCTGAACGTCGTATTTACATAATCCTTTCGTATGCACGTAATCATATTCATGTACACGTCCTTGGATGTGCTTTCGTGCTTGCGGATTGCATTCTGCGCGTCGATTAGGCGAAAAGCCTCCAATCATGTGCTAGAATGTACAACGGAAACGACGCACGGTCGCCTCTAACAAATAAACCATCCGTAAACCCGCAAAAACATAGCGTTGAGTATGTTGTTCATGTAAGAGGTAGAGAAATTTCCTATGAGCAACTTTTCGCCAAAAACCCGCAGAAAAATAAAGGATCTCTGGCAAGGAATGTGGCGCTGTTGGTTCCGCGAAGTTCAGTTGTGCCAAAGGAACGACTAGAGAATATGCTGTTGTGCAAATGAACGGCTCAGTGAGTGCTATAGCTGTTATACTGTTTCAGCAAAGCATGAAAAAGCATGAAAAAAAAAGAGAAAAAAGAAGACGTTCCCACGTACCCGATTTGTCGATTTTCTCGTTCCGCATAGTTGTGCGGTATGTAATCGTGTAGAGGCAAAAAGTACGTGTTTTGCACCCAGCAGTAGTTCTCCGTGTACTGTTCCATAGGCTCGGTGAATGTGGCTGGTACCCAACACTGTATCGGAAATCCTATAACGGGGTATACAATTCAAATAGCCTAAATTCCATAAAGATCTCAGCGTCGTCTTAACAAAAGCGATGACAAGTAGTACTTATTTTTAATTCATTTCTCCTTTTCTATTCCATGTTTGAACAAAAGCAGGCCAGATTCATTAGCACGACTAACATTCCTCCTTTTCGTACGTATGAAACTTTGCAATCAACTATTTATTACAGTGCCAAACTCCGTACCATCTCTCCCACTCTATTCTCTTTTTATAACTCCTCTTTTGTGGAGGCCCGTGTGGCGCAGTGGTTGGAGGCGCCACTGCGGTACACACGTGGAATCGATCCCCGCGCCCATGGCCCACCAAGCCCTTCATCCCTCCGGGATCTGCAAATTGGTACCAAACTTGTCTGGGAGGATAGCAGCACTGGCTCGGCATATCGGTAGGCCACCGCGAGTCAGGCCAGATATGCATTCAATCACCACCAACGTTACCTAATGAAGTCGAGTGCACGGCGCATCCCTCAGGGATTGATCAACGGCGAGAGCTTTATCCTTTATCCTTGTGCTTTTTTGTGAGTTATATTTAAACAATTTAATCAGTTTGAAATGTAACCAGATGTTTTCGGTTCACTAAATTCGCGATTTCTCATTGATTTCGGAAGTCTATTATATGTCTACCGTTAAAACTAAAAATATACGAAGGAACTTACCAACATACTGCTTAGCTGAGACGAGGATGGCAAACACTGAAACGACAACGATTCACGATCACCGTGGTGTTTTTTTGTCGTCTTGTGCAATTTTTTCTTTTGCAGTTATGGGCATATTATGACGAAATTTACCTACTTTCTATGTGCATTTTTTTCTTCCTTCTCACTTTTAGCTGATTACTTGATCTCAAAGCTTTAATACTGTTGAAACGATGTAAACATCACAAGTATCAGATTACGTGAACAAATGTTCACCAATCAATATGCACATATATCGCAATGAAAAGTAAAAAAAACAAAAACAAAACAAGAATGTCGTCATATTAATAGATATTCATTCCTGAAAAAGCATTCAACATGTTTTCTCGAAGCGATCATCCATAAGAATTTTTTTTCTGGTTTTTGTTGCATTCACACTCCTCGGACTGAAACCAGCACAGCGACATGTGTGGGAATAATCGCCAACGAGAATCGCACTACACTCATCAACAATTCACGTATTCTTCTTGTTTTGTTTTCGATTTTTTTTCTTTCATTCTCTTTTTTATAGTGAGGAACGTATCCATATTTATTACACACATTGTGTGCATGTTTTTCACCTCTACCTATTATATTTCTGACTTGTGAAAGCAAACTTTATTGATCTTTCTACGCTTTTCACTAGCTTATACAACTACGATGCCGAAACGATTACCCTTAGCGCTAGAGGACTCTATGTCACTCAGGATTGTAAGCGAAGCTTTAAAAAATGCCCAGTAGTCGCCTTTAGAAAAGCATGTTCCCTAATGTTGGCTTATAGTATGAATGGTAGTGAACTATATTGCATGCGAGCCGAAGAATAAGTGGTTTCATCACGATTGAGCTCGTCGACTTTGATTTGGCGTCAGAAACATCAGATGAGCTCATACGTCTCCTCTGACGTAATCTTAATATTTCCAGAATGGTTTTTTCCGTGTCATGTGTCCATATAAAAGTCTCGGGGATTTCCCCAATAACGACGTTCTGTGCATTAATGAGATCCAAACGGCAAGGAATCATGGCAATAAGCTTGATTAGGGATGGGGTGGGGGTTATATTAGTGAATTTAATTCGACAATGTCTAGAGTGGTGATAGTGGATGAAAGTGTAATGAAATTCCGTCGCTGCGATTCTTCTCTTCTTCAAAGTGCGCGCGTGCTCGTAATTGTTGAGTCGGACTTGATTCGATTATGGTCGAGACGTCAATTGTGAAAGCTAAAATTCACTTAAATATTGCCGTATGCTTTTATGCCTTAGACGTTCGAAGACTTTATGATCTTATAGTTTTATTGCGCTCGAATTAATGACAAATTCGTTACGTATTGCACATGTGTAACAGGTTTCCTGAGCGCCGGCCACGTAAACCAACCACATCGGTAAATCGGCGGCAGCGCTACAGTAAGCGAGCATCTGCTTATGCTGAATGTTTCTCATCGCCGTAACTTCAAAGTTATTTTACCAGTAATAATGGCTGTCGTATAGTAATAGTTGAGCTTGTCGATGATATCATCGTCCACATGGAACTGTATCGACTTAACGGCGCTCGCAAAATAATAGAGTAGCATCGCCACCGCCGCTCACACCATACCCAGAATCGACAACGAGCTACACGTGCTGGAAGAAAGGAAGTAGAAAAAAACCTATATATAAAAAAAGAAAAAACAATTACGACTATGAAATCGATCACTAACAAGATTTATACAGGTACTGAGATATGTTATACACAATACATACAGGAGTTCATGAAAATAGTAACGCTTGAAGTGTTACTGATGGACTCGTTTACAGAAGAATATCGACTTGAATGAAACGATGAAAGTGAAGACAAACAAAATGATCTCACTTCATACAATAGTTAGAATGAAAGAAGAAAAAGAAAACGAGGAGAAACGAATAGGCGATCAGGGAGGTTTTCACAGGGATTTCGAGTTACTGATGAACTGACTTGTATTCGATGAGAAACTATTTCTTACAGCAAATTGTAATTAGGCCTGCTGATTAGTGCTTGCCGTAGATACTCTGTAGCTAAAGCACATCAAAAATGAGATTCGTTTTCATCACGTTCTTTGTAAAACGTGGAAATAAAAAATACCTAGGGAAGAATTTGTGTGTAAGCAAGTATGAATGTAAGCATGTGTGTTTTCGAATGAATGGGAAAAAATGAGTATGAACAAAAAGAAAGGAAAAAAGAGAAAACATGTAAAACTACTCGATCTTAATAATCAAATAAAAACAAGAAAATACTTAGAAAAAACGCCAAAAAATTACACGTGGTGTTTAGTTTCGTGTCACTGATTCACCACTGAAATCATAATATTACTGTATAGTAATGACGTAAAGGATAAGAAAGCTAAAAAAAACAGCAGTGGATTTGAAGGAGAAAACAGGAGAAACAAATGAAAAATCTGCATTTGACTACGAACTCTTGAGTTTTCATTTCGTCTCATTTGTGTGTTTTTTTAAAGGAAATGCACGTTATGAAAAGAGAATTTCGTCAAGAGGGATTGATCTTGTGAAAGATTTGGTTCTGCAAACAACATTTGTAAGTCCTTGTTGAATTATCATATAAAGGAGATGCTTAGTTTTCGAAAACATATTATGAAAAAAGAAAAGCACTCAATGGCTATAGAGCAGAAATGACGAGAACACGTTAAAACAACGTTCCACAGAATATTTGCTAAGAACAAGTAGTTGCACATTACTATTGTCATATTATCATCAATACTATGTTTTTTACACACACTGTGGAAGATTACAGAGATGAAAAGAGCGTTCATGTGCTCATGAATCTGATGTGTTCAGCTCAAACGACGCTTACGTTAGGGAGTTTGATTAAGTAAGACATAGATGAATCTGAAAGTTGAAGGCCGAATGCATAATGGTGTAGACGACTTGAAGGATTCAAATCCACCATACGACTCATATTTGGCTGGTTTCAATGGGGACATGGAAGGATCTGAAAGTTGAAGACGGAGTACATAGTTGCGAAGACGGTTTGAAGGCTACAAACTCACCATAGGATTCAGGTCTAATCTGCCTCAATGATGAATTGGAAGGATCTGAAAGTTGAGGAGAGAGTAACTTGGTGTTGGCGATTTGAAAGGTTCAAATCCACCATACGATTCAGGTCTAGCTGGTCTCAGTGGGGCGCGGCCCACAAATCGATTGCTAGCTAGCCAGAGGCGATGCACGCGTGCCGAAGTCGGGAGCGCCCGCCCTTTTGGCAAACCCAGAACCATTGGCCCGTTCGCCTAGGGACCACTTGGGCAGAGTCTGGTCGGACCTAAATGCGCCCTCTGGCGGTTCCGGCATTTATGAAGGGCAGCGTAACATCAGTGAAGTAGGATTGCGAGATTTACTTCTGGATACTTTTTTTAAACTTATGGAAATCTCAAGCTGTGATATCTTTAATAGCTTCCAATTTATTGCAGTTTTCGCTAGTCCGAAAAGAGACTAACCGTCTTAAAGAGAGTAATCCTTAATCTAAAAAAACCGGCGCAAAAAAAAATTTAGCTAGAAACAATGATGGTACCAAATGTTCGTCTAGTTCTCATGTGGGGAAAAAGTTAATGCGCTAAATACATTAAATTAATTGAAGGATTAATGACCGAATAGTTGATTAAAACAGATTATTCTTTAGGTACATTAGTAATGCAGTAGTGAAGAAAGAAGAAAATTACGGAATAAGAAGCTCTAATGACGCATTGCCCATCGGTGTTACCTCCAAAAATTAGTTAGGCACTCGGAAGGAAAAAAGAGTATTTATAAATATATAGATACAAATTGTACATATATAAATATATATATATAATGCTCTTTTTCTTGTGTTTATGGGGAAAGTACTGAGGATTTCCGAATCGTTGACGAAGATGCTATTTGATTTTATACTACCCTTCTTAACGAAAGCCATTACCATAAGGGAACATTGTTTTAGTTCATTTCGCTTTGTCTAGTTGGCGTTCAACTATGAAATCCAGAATACATAATCGATAACGGGTTAAGCTGTTGTCTCAAGTTTCGAGAACTCCATAAAATATAAGAGATCATCTCGCTGAAAATATGGAATGATCGAAAATCAATGAAGTTGTTTCATCCGAAGAAATCCAATCTAGCAGAAAATGATACTATTAAGCTCTGTGGGGCAATCACCAATAAAAAGACCACCAACAGATATGACACTGGTAAACTGGCAAACTCTATGGGAATAATAGACCAACATTTGAGCACGTAACCGCAAAAAATGAAGAAGAAAGAAAGCGAAAAAAATGTACTTAACAGTAATGACGACGACGAAGTTGTACGAAGACCACATTCAGGTTCAATACATAAACGTGAAGTACATTCTAATTAACAAAGGCAATCAAACCGACTGACTGGCCTACTAATTGAAGCACAGCATGCGTGTCGATATCCGGGAATTTGTCAGAACTTGCAGTGGAAATGATTTATCATTCTAGACGTCAAAATGTTGATAACGATGGACAAGCTTTGTTTACATCAACAAAAGCGTTCATGCATGCTAGTACCTAAGAAATCGTGTTCTTCTTGTTTTTTTTTTTCAAAAACTTTGCATGTGATTGTATTCGTTTTGCATAAAAATCCAACAAGGGTTACGGTAATGCAGAAGTATGGGATGATATGGTAAACTAGAGATTCTCTACAGGTATACAGCAAACGTGTTAATCTAACCAAACAATGATGGTGACAAGTGTTCATGCAGTTTGATGTGATGAATCCGACAACGGCTCAACTGTCAATGCTGCTGAGAAGTGTAATATTGCAAGAAGAATGCAAAGATGAACTCAAACTGAGAACTGAATGTTTTGAGTAATTGAACTAACTGGAATTCTCAAACACTTCTTGCTTAAACCATGGAGTAAACAAGGTTGAGTAAAGGAAAAAGGAGAAGTTTTGCTTCCGAACTCGACTTTTATAGTTTGCCGTATTTGTTGAAATTGTTGAAATCATCTTAACGCTTTGTGAAATAAGATGTAGCGGTACAGATCATTCTCTGAAGAATATCCAAGCAGATAGTTTCCATACGAGAATCGAAAATCCCAGCACTTTTCTTGAAGCACTTTTCGCAAATCGAGCCATTTGGAACGCAGTTGTTCGCACGATGTTCGCTAGACTTCATTAATATTCGAAGAAAATTAGTTGAAAAGAAGACATAGCGAAACGGAAAATCACCAGGAGAATAACTGTAGAAGAAGTGAGGATAAATATAACAGCAACAACGCTTGTAGTGGTTGTGTTTCATAAAATGAACTGTTAATTTAATAATTGGCATTCATAGAAGAATAGTATGGTGAGAGAAGTGCAATAGCCTAGAAAGTGTACACCGGCATTCATCGGACGAGTGTTTTCTTCACGGATTTCGAACCACTTCGCAGAGACGAAATCTCTGCCCGGTCACAATGCCTGTTTATACATCTATATACAGCGTATATATATATATATATATATATAAAGTATTTGCATGTGTACATCTACCTAATGGATTCGCTTTGACAACCGCGATCCGAAAATGACAAATAAGAGATTAGGCGTTTGACGTTAATCAATGCCTTAGAGATCGGCTATGCATTCAGCGTTGCCAAGGTTTGTGGAGATGAACAAGTGCACGTTTTCCTTATACAATGAATCCTGGAAGACCAACAAATAGCTCAACTCAGTATTATTAACCACCCAGAAAGCCTAACACTAATTCTCGGAACCCGAAGGTAGTGAGGAATTGGTTTGCCCGAGTTTCATGGTTGAACGAAGGGCCCTTTGTATTTCACGGTATCTCTGATCACTGGGCTATACGCGCACTCGCGTTTTTTTAACCTCTACGAATCAGTTTATTAAAAAATATCAAACAGGTGATAAAAACGCGCTATGTGGTCAGTACGACAACAAAACATGAAAGATTAACCTATATTACCAGTGTGAATTTTGATCGTCAAATATAAGACCATCAACGAACACATTACTAAGCGGCTTGCAATAAAGACGCTTCGATTTCCTTTGCTTTTTTTCTATAGTGCTTGTGAAAAGATGCAGTTTTGAGAGTCAAGTAATAAGATTTATTGCTGATGTGGTATTGGCGTGCCATTTTACCAGTACCTTCATTTCTTCACCCGAAAACCAATTACACAGTAAGGATGTGCTAAAGAAAAAGTCTTGACACCATCACATACGATGCCACGCTTGCTAACAAAGATAAAGTGCTTTGGTTTCTTCTACAAAAGGTAATGAATAAAGGGTAGGACGTTCACCGTTGATTAATACATGAATGGTATGTCATGCATTCGGCTGCATTCGTAGCATTGCACAGGTGATAGAATACATATCTGGCTTGCTATTACCTACCAATTCATCAAGTTAATGTTGCTATTCTCTACAAACGAATTCAGTGCCAATTTTCCCAATTTCGAGTGATGAGGGGTTTGGTTTAGTAAGCGCTCGGTATCGTCGAGCCAGTAATGAGTACGTTTGGGTTCCAAGGCGCGCTTGATGCGCTCCTGTGTTTTCCCTACCTTTATAAAATATAAAACAGCAGGCAGTGTTAAGAGAAATTTCATGCATG